AATGAAGCTAAACTTCACAAAAGACCTCCAGCAACCTAATCTGCAATGCCTCATAGAGCATTATAAAACAGCAGAAGGGTGAGAAACATTATCATAATAATCGATGCATATAACTATATATATATACATACACAAGTATAGAACACATACATTCCACATTTCTCACCACAATTCATTTTTAATCAGCATATACCTCACAACATATGTACAAACAAATATGGATAATTACCAAGCACATTTCATCATGCATACATCCATAATTCTCAACTCAACAATCCACACACAAGCATATTTCATATAACAATGATATTTATGCTATGTGACCCAACACAACTCAATGCAACTCATGCCGTGTGGTACCAACACTTGTTATCATTTTTCGGTTTTTACACTTAAACCGGGTCCACCCTTCTAGACCGATAACAACAAAAGCCCGTTCCCTAAGCTTTCAAACCCACCCTTCTAGGTTTGGGACAAGTCACTAGTCTCTATGAAACTAGCAAACATTGCCTCTTGACTAAATGATGCATATGCAATCAACCACCAAATGCACTTAAGACCGTTACCGCATCTTAATCTCATGCATTCAAATAATTCATCACTCAAGAATTATAACATGATTGCACACACAACATATTCATATTCAATATCATCAATATATTTACCAAGCAATGCACACATATTCACAATATGTTCTCATGCATTCCCAAACACAATCGCATACAAACAATATGCATTCACAACATCGTGCTCACGGCAACGAATTCAATAACATTCATCATGCATTTTAATCAATTTAAAACAATGCATTATATTATCAAAAGACCACATTTCACAATCAATTCCACAATCTAGGATTCACGCCTTAAGGCTACCCACAACATATATTCCACAGTATACAATTACTCATTTCCAACAAGGATCGAACACAATCGAACAAAGAAATCAACATGGAATGGAATCAAAAGAAAACCAAATGTTGTCACGCTCGCTGGCTTGCTCGCCTAGCGAGTCTCTAGCGAATACTCGCTATCTGTTCGCCTAGCGAACAAGCTCGCGAAGGCAAACAAAAGCTACTGACTTCGCTCGCCACCTGCTCACTGCAGCGAGGCCCTAGCGAATCCTTCGCCACCTCACTCGCTACCAGCAAACTAGATCAAATGCATTCTGTCTAAGTCTGGGACCTCTCGCTAACTTGTTCGCCCAACGAGTTGCTAGCGAATGCTCGCGACCTGTTCGCCTAGCGAAGGTGCTAGCGAACGTCTGCGAACTCAGAATTCCTCACTATCATCAAGTCCTCAACTCTTCACAAAACCGACCGATTCTCACCAAACGAGTTCCATAGCCTTAGTCTAACCTCCCTCGACTAAATTATACCACTTATTCTCATTTTCTACCGTTAAAACTCGATTTCTATCGATTAAATCCACTTTGCCCTAAAATGGAAAATGGAGAAAACATCCAACAATCTAACCCAAGCATACATAATCATATACATTGCTAGAATAACAATATTTCACACCCTTACCTCGATTAAATCAATGCTTGAGAGTTGTTCTTGAGCTTTTCCAACTTTTCCTTCTTCTCCTTCTCTTTTCTCCTCTTTCTCCTTCTTTCTCTATTCTTTCTCCTATGTTTCCTTTCTATCTCTTTTCTTTCCACTTTTCCTTTATAAGTCTTTCCATTATATTTCCTTCCATATATTCTCCTCTCAAATATCTACCAATAATTCCAATAATTAAAATCATCCAAATAAATCAATTAATTAACATAAATAATTAATTATTAAAAAATTGGGCTGTTACAATATATGGCTGAGCCGCAGCTTGAACAAGAGTATCATCATCCCGAGATTGTGGCTTACATAAGATATCTCCAATTTTGCTTCATGTAGGTATGACAATATTACATATTGCCATGATTGTAACAAACAGTACAACACCAGAAGAACCACGTTGGAAATTTGACTGTTGCTTGCTTGTTAAGCAGGTGTGGTGAGTTGGTCTAAGGCGAGCGTTCTTCTACTGATCTTGTAGCCACAGCTGCTTCGGCTATTTTAATCAACATTGCAGCCTTATAGGTTGCCAGATCTACACTTTCAGCAATTGCGTTTTTGAATGGTTATTTCCATGGATGCATTCGCCGTGGCTTTGGCTTCTCTAAGCCTAAGCATTGCATTTTCTTCCAAGACCTTTTGTTCAGCTTCAAATGCCCTCAGCAAACTTGGCTGGTAGCTTCTGCCAAACTAACCTGGCTGTCTCTTAAATGAAGATATCCATCTTACTGAGTTTTTTTACTGCGTAAAGTACGGTTTTTACGGTTATGAACATTCTAACTTTTTTTCATTTTACAGGGCCTTATCATAACAATATCATGGCATATTCCAAAGGATCATGGGACAATTTGCGGGGGTGCAAAAGTGAGCTACAATTTTAAGAGGCTTTGGATAATGACTCGAAGCTTTTCCTCTCTTCCTTGTTGTTCATTGTAATTTGGACAGTATTTTGACAGCTTTCTATCTGGTTTAATGCAGAATTCGTGTCTGAGAAGGAACAGTTATCACCTTGAACTCTTGTTCCACAAATCCCGTCATGCTTGTAATGGGTGAACGCGAAGTCTATGATTTCTTTGTAAGAACCCTTTCATCCTCATATGGTTGAACCTTTTATCTGTTATTGACAAGAAACCATGGTAGCTTTTGTATTATTGACTTTCATGAAATTGCCATGACAACATGAATATTTAGCATATTTGTAGCTAAATCTCTTGTCAAATGCAACATCCCAAATTCATTCTTCATAACTGCTCTCGTCATATATCTTCTTTGTTTGAATTTTATATTGATCATTCTCTTCTTTTGTGCATTGGCTTTGATATGATGAGCTTCCCGTCGTAACAAAACCTTCATCGGTGAGGACTCGAAATAACATCCAGCACAATAATGAAGCTACCGAAGACTTGGAAGGAAGTCTACACCATCTTATTGACAAATAAGATGCAGACCTGCACCCTGCTTGTAACTTTTGAATATTTTTAGAAGTCCCTTGAGACATTTTCCTTTTGCTAAAACTCTTGTAATAAACCGGTTCCAATTACCGTTTTTTAATTCTAGCTTTACGTCCCCTCTTGTTGTATCCTATTATTTGATTATGAATTCAATGCCTTAGAGATAACATGGCCTACGATCGTGAAACTGTAACTTGTGAACACTTTTTCAATTATTTGCACCTTCAGACAACATCGCCTTGAGAACATGACTTGGCATTCTTGAATTAAGCTAATTTAAAATATTTTGAAACTCAATAAGTTAAAATCTTAAAGCCAGCCACCGACTGCTTCTTAGACTCCATGATTTCCTCAACTGCTAGCACGATTTAAGAAGTAGGCTTCAAAACACGAGGTGCATGATCATAAAGGATCCATTCACCACTTTAAATGCAATACTCAAACGGTTGAAACTTCTTTGATATAACATAGTAACGTGCAAACTTTAATAATCCTTAATGTGTTTTACGAACCACACTGTGATCTTTCCTTTGCAGCAATAATTCGTAACAATTCCCTCATGTTCTAAGAACAAACCAAATACAACAATAATTCGTAACAATTCCCTCATGTCCTAAGAACAAACCAAATAGCACTTTGAATGAACATATGGTTTGATCACAAGTTAGTTATGTTTATGGAACGAGTAACCATACCGTGAAATCACTTAATCATGTTGCAAACCCACTTAAAATGAATCAAGACAAGACCTAGAGCAAATCTCTCTAATCGTGGCTTAGATAAGATCTAAAATTCCTCTTGAAATAAATCTTGACATCACCTTGCAAATCCTTGAAATTATCTTGAAAAGCAATCTAGACCTGCTTTGGAATTAAAATTGTTTTGAAGGCACTCACACTATCTTGAATCTTCTCACACCTTACCTTGAAAAGACATGGTTTAAGCTTAGAACAAGAAATGGACTTATCTGAAACCATCATTTTGACAAGAGTTTAGTAACCACATAGAGTGCCAACAAGACCTTTATTAATCCGCACCTCAAAAATATCATGGTTAGAGTCCAGGTGATTATTTAGAGAAAAGGCGTGAATCCCCACAACTGTTTGATACAAGAGCAAGAGAGGGTAGGATAAATTTGGGATATGACACAGCACAATTGAACATTTGCTAATATATCCTATTATTCTTTAAATACTTTGTTATCATCAAAACCTTTGAGATATAATACAACCCAATTCTATTCCAACATTCACTTATGTAAAAAATGATAAAAAATATTTTTCATTAACATATTTTTAATCTTTATAATATTAGAACAATATAAATTATATTTAAACACTTTATTTAAACCTTAAAAAAAAAACCCAAACTCTTTATACAATACAATTTTTTATTTTCTCTAATTAGGAGAATTTTGATTTGTAAATAAAAATAAATAATCTCTCAAAACTTTTGTCAAAGTCTAATATTCCTTTAAATAATTCAATTATATTCTTTTTGATCCATCATTTATTTTTTTAATTATTCTTTTATTGTCTCGTTAAAACAACTTAATTGATAGGTGTATAAAAATCTCGAGTGCACGGACGCGAATTTAAACTAGTAACATCCCACTTATTAAAGTAATGAAATAGACTCCAACCTTTAAACTACTTAACTAAAAAAAACTCTTCCTTCCCTCATTTCCTATAAATTCTCAAACAAAGTATAATGTTCCCTCTATCTAATAAAAAAATGAACTTTTATTTATCCAATATATAAAACTAATTAGTGTAAAATGTTTAAAAACAAAAGTTATACTTTTAATTAATAATTAAATATGATAAAAGAATTATTTCAATGCAATTTTTTTAACAATTGTCATTTGTCACTATCCACACAATAATTTCAAGAAGAAATTGAACATTTGTTCTTACTTTATTTGTTGTCTTGTCGGTAGAGTAATTTCAACATTCTACTTGTTTATGAATACAAAAAATCGAACAGAATTTTACATGGAATCTAGTAACAATAAATCTCAAGCTTCTTCTTCTTCTGATTCAGACATTGATAATAACGATTCAGGTTGTTGTTCCAGCAGATCTGATGCTTCAGCAGCTGCTGAGTTGAAACTGTACAGAGCTTTTATATTCTCTGTACCTATTTTCTTCACTTTGATTCTTGTTTTTCTTTTCTATGTTTTCTATTTGAAACCTAGAAGGGTTGATTGGTCTTCTATCAGGATGAGGTCTGTTTCTGTTCTACAACATCACAATCACAACAATGCAATCTCCAATGTAAGTTGTCCTTATACTAATCTACATTTCTTGATATGTTTGTTGACTTGGATTTTTTTAGCTTAAAATATAAGTGATTATCTTCTGGTTTGTTAAAAATTGATTGATGGCATCCGGTTCACTGGACTGAATAATCTGATTTTGGGGTCAGTTCTGGTATGGTTTCATGTTTGTACTTTTCGTAAATTGTTGTTTACATGTTCGATTATTGTTTGATTATACTCGCGTTGGTGTCAGACACTACACATGTGTAACTTACACGCTTTCGATCAGAAGTATTAGTCCGATAGAGTGCGAACGAGTTTCAAACTGATATTTTTAACTTCTTGCAGTCTGATTTGGGGTTGAAGAAAGAATTGAGAGAGATGTTGCCTATTATAGTTTACAACGAAAGCTTCTCTGTCAAAGATACACTGTGAGTTTAGTTCACTTTTATTACTATTTCTTTTTTTATGATTCCACTTGTGTGATTGTTCTTACTCCACCCTCAAATTGAACTATCAGAAACACAAATTCTAACAATACATCTTTTTCATCAGATGCTCGGTATGTCTTTTGGATTACCAACCAGACGACAGACTTCAACAGATACCGGTATGCGGCCATACGTTTCACATGAGTTGCATTGATCTCTGGCTTACCAGCCACAGCACCTGCCCTCTTTGCCGTCTGTCGCTACTACCTGCTGCTAAATCTTTGACCGAGACATCCAATATGCAGGTAGATAATAGTAATTTCGACAATTTTGTATCAATGCGTCTACGTATATACTAGTGTTTAGATTATTGATCATTCATGGCAGATATATACTGACAAATGAAACTCTCTGATGGAGGCTGCAAGCAATGAAGAAATAGAGACGCAGCCGAGAATTGAAGAAACACTAGCCATTGAATTCTCTGACTCGGTATCTACTAGTCATCTAGAAACCACTGTCATCCAAAATGTTTCTGGAGAAGTTGGAATCAGTGCTAACCCGCGTATCAATGTTGAAGAGCCAAATGTGCGAAACAACCGATAGGAACATGAAGATATGAAAGATTCTTTCACTATACTACATCATTTCTCGTTCATCCTCGGTGCAAGAACTTGGATTTGAAAGAAATTTAGTAATTTTTGGAGGATTCGATCAAACTGTTAACAATATCATCACGGCGAAATCTTTGATATATTCCTGTGCAGATTGGCAACAAGATCATGCACTTGTTTTTCCTTATGATTCTTTACATTTACATTGTAACATTGTTCTTGTATGAGAGTTATGTATCAGTTACAAACATGTAATCTAAAATCGTTGTGAACTTGTGATGTTGATCAATTGAAAATAAAGTGAATTTTTGAAAGTTGACTCCTCTCCCTAAAAATAGCTTCTGTTTTAACCCTCAAACCTTCTGATGCAAGAAACTAGATTACGACGATTTTTGCAAGAAATAAGAGCAAAACATAAATTTAATTGAATTGTGTAGCCTCAAGGATCCTTAGTCATGAGACAGGAATGTGTGTACATTTACAAACAAATCAACCACTTAAGAGAAGTGGCTAATTCATATTGAGTATATTTGTACAACTATTTTACACTGTCAGTGTAGTTTTTTTTAATACGTATATATATTGTTTCACTATGAAAAAATTCAACAATACAACATGTGAACGACCGGTCACTCCCGATGAATGCAGATTGAGAGATTATCTGTCAAACATCCCTTGCCTTAGACCCGATATCTGACAATGGTTGGAGCGGCATCCTTGGACTCGAAGGAGGACTGCTGAGTTTCCGAATTAGAAATTTGAAGCACGGTAAGAATGATATGTAAAGACTTGCCAAAATTAAAGGCGATGCAACTAGCCACCCTAATAACTGCAAAAAATATCATTGAGCAAATTATTTCAAACGCGAATGTAATCACATTACGCATAAGGTAAACTTAGAACATCAATCACAATCGCAATCACATCGCGTAAATTACTTTTATGGCATCGGCTACTTACCGCATTGGCAATGCTTAGTAGGACTTGCTTTGAAGCTTGACCGGTAAGAACTTTCTTTAAAACATCAGATGATAAAGTGAAATGAGGCGAACGGGTGATAAATTCACCGAGACGCAGAAACGGTATAATCAAACTGAAATATACGTCAAATAAATCTTTCAATCAGGACTTCAACATCAATACGGTTAAAGTTTTCAATGAAAAAACAACCATAGAACAATGTTTTCAATTATGGATCGCAGAAAATAGAGGTTTGTTCAAATTCTTCGATGCTAAAGTACTATGCCGCAAAACAATAGCAATTTGTTAAATCAAGTTACCTCAACTCAATGGGAGTAGCAAAGCAGTTTGCAAGCAACAGAATGGGAGCGTTAACAAACGATCCAAGTAACGTTATAGCAACGCCGCAGAGGAGCACAGTGACACCTGTTTCAAAAGAACCTTCAAAATCTATCGCTGCAGAACTATCCTGACAAAGCATTATCAAGAACTACTTCCTACAAATACACTTCATAGGTTCAATAGAACACTCATAAAAGAGACAACATCTTGACCTTTTTCCTTGCCTATAACCTGATTCGTCTTAACTTTTTGGAGGCACTGCATAGGTCAATGTAGTCAAGCACGAGATCTTACGTATGATCGGTCAGCATGTGAAAGATTGTAATATTCGAATCTTTAGCACGGCACCTAAGATTCTACACCAAAGGGGAAAAGGTAATTTCTTTACAATCTTCCTTCAAAAAACTCCATTTTGACCACGCCAGCGACGGCGATCTCTATCTAATCATAGCACTCTTAGGTATCCTTAGTTAAGATCTTCCGATCCAACATTCAATCTTAACTACACTGATGTACATTAGTCACAGTTGAATCATAACAAAACAATTAGAGACTCTATTTAACTATAGTTTAACCTGAACCGAGCAATAGCCCACCGTGTACGTCCTCAGAACAAATTCACTACCATAAAAAAAACTAACTTTCTACTAACTAACTTCTCTAACTAACTTTTCAAGCACAAAAGTAAACCCAATTAAGGTATCCAAATAGATACTATGATAGATGATATTTGAAACTAAAATCACAATTAAACTAACAACTTACCACAAATAGGAAACACTCCAAGTGTAATCCCAAGAGCAGCAGAGAAAGACAACTGCTTAGGCTCAGCACCACTGAACAAAAAAAATATACAGAATTAATAAACTAAACCTTCCATAAAATAAATTAATTGAACAACTTTACAAAAGGTTTCACTATAGAAACAAACCAAAACATGAAAAAAGACAAAACCAGAACATAGTAAAGTTCATAAACATAGTACCCTCGAAGAACCAAGAGAACAGGATCTGTGAATTTGTGTTGGAACCATGTGACTAAACCCATCCTTCCTCCAAAAAAAAATCTAATTTTGGTTGTTGGGATCTATTTTCTTTATTTATGAAACTACCCAAAATTAACCATTTTTTGTTTATTATTATATTGAAATTTCTTATGTGAGAAATATATTGAGTTGTAATAATTTAAAAAAATGAAATTGGCGTGGTAGGCCAATATTGTCCCTTAATAGTGGATCTTGTCATATGTCATACGGCTTTTCTTCATAAATGGAGAAAGAGTGAGGGGATTAGATTCTCACAATTTTTAAAATGTGTAATATTTTTTAAGAAATTTATTTTTAATATTTTAATTATGTCTATGAGTAAGTTTTATTCAAAAATTATTTTATTAAAATATAATTTTACCAATTATTAATTGGTTTAGTGGTGATTGATGTTGAACTTAATAGGAAGGACTATGATTTGATTCTCCGCAACTGCGATCAGAAGGAGACTGGACGGACCGGATATTGGTTGGTGATTAAAATAAAATAATATATATTTTTAGTTTTTGAATTGAAATAATGATTTTGATTAATTTTTGGAAAATGATATTTTTAATTGAAAAAGTAGAAAAAGAAAATAAATGTATGTGATTTTTTAACCATATTACATAAAAATAGTGTAGAATGTATACTTTTTTTAACATGAATTTGTTTTCTATTTTTTTTTTCAAATATTTTTTTATAAATAAAAGGATTGTATTAAAGCGAACATAAAAGGTATACAACTCGAATACAAAAGAGAAAACGAAACGAAACTACTTCATAGTCTCTACGGGATTAGACGGTATACAACTCGAATACAAAAGAGAAAACTAAACCAAACTACTTCATAGTCTCTACAGGATTAGACATTCAGATAACTTTATAATCACTTAGTTGATCAAATGATATGACACTAAGTCAATCGCAAGTTAAGGATTCCCCCTTCACTGCTCCATCAAACAAAGTATCATTTCTGACTAACCAAATAGCCCTCACAACAGATAACCAAATGAGAATCCTACAATTTCTCTTTGCCCTCCCCCACATTACAGAGTCAACTAATAACAAATGATCAGGAATATCAAGAGATAAGTTAAAATTACTCACCCCTACCAAATCCAAAATCATGGACCACACCTCAACAAAAACTAAACACTCAATAAAAAGATGATGATGAGACTCCTCAGGACCAAGGCATAACAGACATACAAGATTATGAACGCCTAATATGACTCCCTTCTTAGCAAGCTCTTCCCTCGTTTGAAGCCTTTAAAAAAAACCTCCACACTGACACTTGAACATTTGAAGAATTATTTGAATTCCAAACACACTTTAAGGATAACTTCAACCCATTACTCAATTGTAAATTTTGATCAACACATGAGTACAACCTATCATAGACAGATTTAACGGTAAACCCAGTTGAGGCACTCCTCCACATAGACTGATCCAACTACGAAGGGTCTAGAACAATATGCTGCAAAATGACATTGATATTGTCATATTCTGGTGCAGCAGAGCCCGATAAGATCTCGGGATTCACACATATCCTCTAACTCCAATGATCCTGGACCCATGAACCGACTTCTTTAATCCTTAGTCTTGGTTCTTGAAGGGCTTGAAACAACACTAGAAATTGACTGCATAAAAGGGTCTTTACCAATTCAGCAATCCCTCTAGAACTCAATATTGAAACCGTTCCCAACCTTGCACGAGAGACTCATACGGGCCCAATTAATTTCAGCACCCTAAGAACCCAACATAAGCCTTAAATCCTTCCACCATATGAAATATTATGAATTTCTAACAGACAAGGAATTATCTTATATTACATTCTTTATATCACCATATTTGAATGAAATAACCTTATGCCATAATGATTCTTCCTCTAACATTATCCTCCATCCCCATTTACTCATTAAGGTCGTATTGAACAAATTACAATGCTTAACACCAAGCCCACCGTCCGTTTTTGACATACAAATAGTAGACCATGCCACCCAATTGATCCTTTTATGATTTTCATGGCCATTCCACAAGAACGCATGTTGAATCATGATAAAGTCTTGGATAACTATTTTTGATGCTTTATAAAAGGAGAACGAGAAGAGAGGGATTGAATTCAATATTGAATTAAGCAAAATTACTATACCACCTAGAGATGAAAATTTCCCTTTCCAAAAGGGCAATCTATTCTTAATCTTAGCTTGAACCAAAGAGCAAGAAAAATGTCGTCTAAGATTTTCCCTTTCCAACTCAACATTGAAATCAAGAATACTACTTTTATTAAAGTTTATGGATAAACCTGAATAATGCTCATAATCACGAAGCAACTCTTTTAGAGTCACAATATTCTCCCATGATGGTTGTACCGCGATCATTGTGTCGTCAGCAAATTGAAGAAGATCAATATGAAGATTATCTTTCAAAGAAAAAGGGTGGTAATAATGACCTAAACACACATTCCACAATAAACCTGCAATTCCTTCTGCTACCAAGATAAAGAAAAAAAAGGGAGAGAGGATCCCTTTGACGAAAACCCCTTCTAACTTGAAAATCAATCATATAGATACAATTAACCAAAACCAAGAAAGAAAAATAAATAAAACACCTGCCTTAATCCATTTTAACCATTTGCTTCCGAATTTCATCCTTTTAGAATG